TTTGAAATGACAACAGAGATGAAAATTTGCTCGGTGAACCTTGATTGAAATTTAAGAAAAAAAAACAATAAATACAATAATAATAATAATAATAATAATAAAACAGTAATATTTATTCACTCCACATATGTGTAGTAAAAATGTTTAGTTCATCCTTATTGAAATGATGAATAGTTGCTCTGTCTTATATTTTGACTATGCCTAGTTTATAACTTAGCTTTCCCCAAGATTTGAGTTTATTGGCTAAAAATATCTCATCCTAAAAACTTAAAACTTGTGGGTTGCAAATGCTTAATCTAGTCTAAGTTATTGTGGGGCATGATATGGTGCAACGGAAATTTGCTGTGACTTTGTTCTAAGAAAGACTTAACAGCCGGAGTTTTATTTTCAAAATGCTAAAATTAAAAGTTCCTCAGTGATTTATATTCCCTACCAAAGCCATATGACATGTTCTACAAATACAAAATCTTAGTCATATGTTGCTTGTTATCATATTGAGCTTTGTCAAATTATTGTGATCAGTGTTGAGATTCTCATCGTGCACCCATGATCAAGACACACGTACACCCACAAATAAAATTGCTGACTCTTACACTGAGAGTTACGCAAAAACATGTTTTCCGCCCACCAAATAATTACTCCATTCATTTATCATGAGTCGCTCTCATAAGTTTTTCACATGCCAAAAGGAAGTATGGGCTATGCTAAAAAAAGAGAAAAAATGCATGCCAAAAAGCATGAAGAAAAGAAGATAGAATAAAAAGAAATAAATAAAGATAGCCCATAGTTTCAAATAAAAGACATTCATCAAAAGGAGAGAGAGAGTCATGATCAAAGGAGTACAAAAATATTTTAGAATTAGGAAGATTATAAAAATTCCACACACTTGTACGTCTTGATCAAAGTGTATGACTTGCATCTCCTTGAGGTCCGGTTTTTAACTTAGCAATATTATGTGATGCAAGTATGCCTTCTTTTATACCTACTCAAAGATCCACATAAGCCATTTAGTTGGTAGGATAAAAAGAAAGGCAAATATAAAAAGCCTTTGGTGAGGATCATACACTTCTGAGTGACCGAGTGAATCATTTGAGGAACTTAACTTTATTTTTGCAAAACTTTCAAAACCTCTAGAAAGAAAGTCTATTAAAGAATGAATCAAAAGCATTTTTGTGAACCGTTCTATCTTGCAACCACCCAAGACTTGGAGAAGGCTAAAAAGCTCCACAGATAACGAGACAATAAGGGGTGGATAGAATGACGATTTATCCAAATCAAGGAAGAAAACTTTGTTATAGACATGGCACTTTTGAAATGTAATCGGCATGGTAGCAACTCCTGATCAACAACCAACGTCTTAACTTTTGCTCGAGGACGAGCAAAGGGTAAGCTTGGGGAATTTTGTTGGCGGTCCTTATCGACAAAATCCAACCGCCAACTATGATCCAAAAAAGAGGAAACTACATGTTTTTACACACATATACCTTTACTATTGACATAGTTCCACTTGTATTGGAGGTTCACCATTTTGCAGGAGACATGCTTGAATACAAGGGAATTATAGTCAAGTATGCCATCAAACAATGCGCAAAGCAAAGAAATGAGAAGAAGGCCCATCCAAATATCAAATCTAGGCCAACCACCGATGAGGAGGTAGCCCAGGCCCACTCAAAAACCGACTAGAGGAAGACGGTCATGAGGCGGCTCCACCTGGGTGCGGCCGCACCTAGGGTGAGCCCATACCCCTGCCTCTGCCAACCAGGCCCAGCTTCCTCTAGCGGTATCATCAATGCGCTAGGAGGTCGGTTTGGGAGGTTTCCTAATTTATCTCCAAACCGACCATAGAAGTAGTATATAACAGAGGGGAGAGCTCCATTCACAAGACACACCACACTTGAGCTCTCTCTCCCTCCACACTTGTATTTGTTTACTATTTTTAGTAGTCTTTGGAGCAAGGCAAGCTTCATTGGAGAGCTAGAACCTCTAGGGGCAAAACTTGGTATGAATAATATGAAGAGTTCTCTTATGTTCTTGCTCTCATATTATCAATGTAGCCATGCTTATGAATTAGAGCTAAGTTCTTATATTATTCATTTAGCATGTAGAACTTTATGCTTAATCTTTCATACATACATGTTTAGACCAAGACCTAAATTGAGGTAGTAGGTTCTACTTTAATAATAGTTTTGGTCATTATATTCTTGTGGGTTCATCGTCCGTCCCCGTGGCGGATGCTCTAGTAAGAGGACTCCTAATAAAGACAGAAGTTCCTGGCCACCGCTAGAGTAGTAACTGATAGCGTAGACGTGGTGTCTATGTTAGAAGTTACCTTCATTTGCCTCGTATCCCCTGGTTGAGGAGTAGACGGCAGGTGGTGACAGCCATGTCCGTCCTTCGTAATCCCCTATGTTCGGATACGGTGTAGAACTATAGGCCGGCATCGACTGACAGACCAGTTGCAACCCGGTTCCCGAAGTAAATTTATAGTGACCGAAGCTATCTTAACTTAGGATCGCTACCCTTAGATATTCATGTATTTATATGATTTGCTCATCTTAGCATAGCTATACAAGAAAAGCCTTCTTCAGTTTATGTTTATTCTTTTATTCTTTATTTTTTTTATTTTTATCCTTGAGATTGGCTTGAGTGTGTGTGTCACTGTCGACAAAATCTAGTCGGCAGTCTACCGAGGGGTATGCCCACGGTAGTAGATGAATCGGTGGAGGTGCGCGTGAGGAGACCGGATGGTGACACAGAACGTAAGAGACAACAATTAGATAGGTTCGGGCCGTCGGCTTGACGTAATACCCTATGTCATGTGTCTCTGTGGATTGTATTGCGTGTGTTCAGATGAAAACGAGGGGGTCCCTACCCCCTTATATAGCTTAGGGGGTAGGGTTACAGATCGGTTATTTCCATTCTGATCGGTTTACAAGATAGAAAGTTACAGATCGTACAATATCTATCATATCCGAGCAGATTTCGTAGATCATCGAGGATCTTCACATTGACTTGTGAAGCACGTCGTCCTCCGGCATACTTCTCCTGGTATTGTCTTGCGAGCTAAGCCTCGACCGGTGGCGCGACCCGTGCATAGTCTTGTGGGCTGGGCCTTCACTAGCGGCTTGGCCCACGTAGAGCCTTACGGATACCGAGGGTCATACCCCCACAGTCACACTATCCAATATCTATCTTGGATTACCCATGTTATGGACTTTGGTCTACTATGTAGTCATGTTATCTTGTCCATATCCTTATTAGAGACTTTTACACCATGCCTTCCTTTGAAAAAATATAAATGAACGACACCCAAATACTGCCGGGTAAAATGCTATAACGATATATCCGTACGCTTGTGGAATATTTTTGCATGTATTCAGAAATATCGTCACGACGTTTCTGGTGCTATTGCTAGGAAACACTAATCCTAATGATTGTGCTAAGAAATGCCAACAGTAGCTTAGAGAGTTGGGGCATTGTTGCCATTGTATACAAAGGGGCGATCTGGCATTGGTCACCTACTGGTTTTCACCTGCACAGTAGAGCTAGCTGGTTTCACATCTTTCGGTGTTCCTGCTAATAAGGAATTATAGCTCCATCGCTTATTCATATTTGTCTACAATAACCATAGTAGGTACGTTGCTACCCTCTATTAGGAAGTTGCTTAATATATCATTTATACCGGTGGTTCTAAAAAATATTGTAATCGTATTCATCTTATTTATGCTTGATTTGTTTTGTATTAACAAGGAACATAACAGTACATGATTTATATTAATGTTTGATCATGGCTACATGTAAACATTAAATAATTTGCAGACAATTAAATAGACACTCTATTGTACAAGCTATCTATTTAGTCGTATGTGTGTGAGGTAAACAGAACTTGCACACAACAAGTTGTTTGTGGGTCATATATGCCCTAAGCCTAGTTTCCTCTTAGTTTGTGTGTAGCACCTTGTCTTCACCATTCAACAAAGTAATAGCATGTTTGTGCATGGAGCCTCATCTTCACAATTCATCAACAACACCAAAGCACAAGAAGCATCATTGTGGAGACCCATGGCGAAGTGGTGAATGTTTGGCCCCGTTCGTTTAGCAGAATTTTGGTTGAAACTGGCTGGAAAACACTGTTCTGGTTGAATTGTTGTGAGAGAGAAAACACTGTTCCGGCTGAAAAAAGAAGCCGAACAAACCGAATATGGAGTAAGCTGAACAGGGCCTTCAGGACCTAGCTTTTGACAGATCTCCTCTCGGTGTAATATCTAGAGTGATTAGAACCAAAATGCTATATGATTTCACAGAAGATTCTTGTAACTCCAACCGTGGCCCTGTTCGTTTCTCTTATAATCCGTCTTTTTCAGCTTGTTTTTTAGCCGGAACGATGTTTTTCTCTCATAACTAATCAGTCGGAACAGTGTTTCGGCTTGTTTTTTTTTCAGCGAATCAAACGGGGCCGTGTGTAAAACTCCGTGATTCTTGTAAAATTCCTAGTTTCTAGCCCTAACAATCGAAACGTGGACATGGACCTCTGCCAGCTCTGTAGAAGTAACCAGTATTTTAAATAACCGGCTAAGATATTTAGCTATCTACGTCTCAAAACAAGCTACAACCAGCTATAGCGACAGTATATGCAAAAATTTAGCTAAATCATTTTTAAACAGCTATAGCTAGAGATAGCGGAAGCTATTAGATTTAAAACCTGAAACTAACCCGAATAACAACGCGTGCTCTGCTCACTGGCAATGTGGCCCCGACCAAACAGACAGAGAAATGCAGAGTCCTCCTCCTGACAGCGTGGCATCGGCTCCCATCGCAGGATCCCGATCTAACCGCTCACGTCCTCCTCGCCACGCCGACCGTCGTGCCCAGCTTTAATTGCCTTCTCCGCCCCACGCCGCCGCCGTTGGGCTCTCGGTCTCGTTCGCCGCGTACGACTGTGCAGTCCGCAGCCAGCCAGCCAACGTAGTACTCGGGTGCCGGGTCGGGGTCCGCTATCGATGGCGGTGCGGCGGAGCAGGGGCTGGGCGCGCGGCGCGGCGGCTTTCGCGGCCGTGGCGCTGGCGGTGGGCGCGGGGCGGCGGTACGGGTGGGACGGCGCCTCCGCGGTGGCGGCGTTCCGCGAGGCCCGGGGCACGCTGGGGCCCTGGGCTGCGCCGGCCTACGTGGCCGCGCACGCGCTCACGCTCGCGCTGTGCCCGCCCTACGCCATCTTCTTCGAGGGCGGCGCCGCGCTCATCTTCGGCTTCCTGCCTGGCGTCGCGTGCGTCTTCTCCGCCAAGGTCCTCGGGGCCTCGCTCTCCTTCTGGATCGGCAGGTCGAGACCACGCCCCCCTCCTTGCTCTTCCCTGCTTCTCGTGTCCGGGCTCTGCATCCTTCTTGCTGCTACTTTTTGGGTGCGCACAGGAGGCGAGATCTGGGAACGCTCTAGCTTCCCTCGATCAAGATCTGTTAGGAAAAAAAAATCCGCGCAGCTGCTTGTGCGTGGTACTGATTGAGGGGGGCAGGGCAAGAGTGGAAGCAAGAAAAACAGATTTAGGATGTTCTAATAAACAAATAAAAGTCACAACTTTTTGCATTGGTTTGCCAGTTGGATTTGTCTTCTGTTGCCCATGGAATTTGGAATTTTGTAGTATTTTGTCCGTGTATTACTGTGGTTTAGTTGTGCAGCTTTTGGATTGTGTAGATAGGACTTCTAGGGAGTTAGTGAGATCTAGGTGTTACCTTCTTGCATTACTTGTTTTCTTTTTGCTGTTTCTAGTTGAGTGTGAAGTGTAGAAATTAGTTCTTGGCCATGTATAATTGTTCAGTTGTGCTGTATTTGCGTTACATAATTGTGACCTAATGCAGTGTGACAGGCTAGTCCTTGATATTAGGAGCAAGGTTCATTCTTTCACCAGCAATACTGACTAGTTCACACCAGTAAGTCGAACTTGACTCGGAAGAGCACGAAAATAGAGTGGATGTTATGACTGAGGGCAATAGCTTTGGTTAGAACTGGAAAACCTGCAAAAGAATGTTATTGTCACACTTTTATTGTGGTTGAGCACTAATGTTTATTAATGAATGAATTCTCATGTCGGACTATACCGTACTTCACTTTGTAGTCGCTCTGATACAGCAAGTTCATTCCATCACACTTCATATGTTAATAAGGCGGTGTTTAGATTATTGGCCACTAACTACTTAACTTTACAGTCTTGAAATCTTTAGTTGCATTCTATATATTGTTCAATCTTTTGATACATATACATGGCCCATCAGCTAAGTTATGTAGCACAATGAACAATATATTTGATTTTAGGTACCACATGTGAACTATTAGAGTGGCTAATGTTTGTATAAATGTAGCAATAGATGATTTTAGATAAATAATAATGGTCTTAGTTACTTATGCATTTACTCATACTAAGACTTTTGGTGATGGCTTAATACAAGTCTGCATTAACAGTGCAGTGTTGAAATCATGTGAGATTTCATGTTCGGTACTTGTACAATGTCATGCGACCTCTTCAGCTTTACATCCTTGGTCCTGGGTAGTTTTCCTGTTTTCGAGAAAATAAAGGTTGACCCATTTCATTAGCAATGTTGCAATACAAAGTGCAATAGATCATTAAACTTGATGTATGAACTATGATGTTCATGCATAAATAAACGTAAAACAAATTTATATATGAAGTTGGCTGTATGCAAACAACTGCTGTAAACCTTTTGAGCTTACATACAAGATATGATGCCTTAGGTAATCATATGGGAATCATGTATGGTTGTACGCTAGATTCTGCCTTTGTTCACCTGTGTATCTCAACTGAAGGCTATTTTGCCATACAAGCTGGTTGACATGGTGGTCCGAAATTACCCAGTACATATATTTTATTGCAAGGTTTTATGTTATTATTATTCACACAACAATTTTCCCTTCCTGTTTTGCTTGTATTCATACAATGGCTGCTGTTGGTCTGTATATTCTGTTCTAACATTCTTTCCTAATATAAATCTTTTCTGAATTTCCTCAGGGCAATTTTCAGATACTTCACTTCAGCAATGGAATGGCTACAGAGGAACAAGTACTTCCATGTTGTCGTTAAAGGGGTTGAGCAGGATGGCTGGAAATTTGTATTGCTTGCTAGATTCTCTCCTTTGCCTTCCTACATCATCAACTACGCTCTATCAGCCACGGATGTTGGATTTTTTAGAGATTTTCTTCTTCCCACAGTTATCGGCTGCTTACCAATGATACTACAGAATGTTTCCATTGTAAGCCTTGCCGGTGCAGCAGTGGCCTCGACCACAGGATCAAATAAGTCCCATATATACTCTTACCTGTTTCCAGCAATGGGCATTGTGTCCAGTGTTCTCATTTCATGGAGGATTAAGCAGTATTCCTCAGCCCTTGCTGTTCCTGAAGAGCTGCAAAGTTCACCTACTAATGGAAATGACAACGGTGATGCTAAGCTGGCTTCCACACCATCCAAAAACACCAGCTCTGGGAAAACTAGGAAGAGAAGGTGACCGACAGTATCCCCCTGTATTTACTACATTGTGATACCGAGTACCAAGCAGCTACAGCCGATGCTAGTCAAATATTTGGATTTCCACATTGGTTTACCCGACAGTAAGCTATCTTGTCTGTTTCATGCCATGGTTTTTTGGGGGCATTTAGCAGATGCTCAGTCAGTCATTGAGCTTCTGTTCTTGTGGCTGATAGTATCATAAAATGAGAGATTTGGATCGTCCTGAGTTCAAATGTATCCTGGGAACCAATATTGGTTTTCCCTCCCTAATTATATCAAACTTGACATGTGCACGATGAGGTCCAACCAGTTTATGTTCTTTGGTATAACAATTCAATTCAGAACTGTGTTTGCTTTTGTGTGGTTGTATAGCTGTTGTGACATCCTCTATAAGCAGAGGTCCACTCTTTGCCCACAATCCAAAGCAAATAGTGCAGTAAACTCCAAGAATCTTATACAGTATGCACAAGCTTTGGTTGCACTCCTTTCCCATCTCATTATTTAACCCATGTTCTGCTCCTTTGTTCTCGTCTCACAAAATTTCAAGAGATGAAGAGCTCTCACTTGTGTTCCTACATTCTTCTTCTAGGCATCTATGCTCCAAAAGTCCTATCAGATAATCCTTCTCTGCAGGATGTATGCCCCATAGCTCCCCAGGGTGAGCGGAAGCTGTTCATGAATGGTTTCCTCTGCAAGCATCCCTGCACCATCCTGGCCTCCGACTTCAAGACACTGCTGCTGAACCATGCTGGAGACCTGGACAACATAGTCCGGTCATCGGTGAACATGGTCACCACTACCGAGTTGCCAGGCCTGAACACCCTGGGCCTGTCGATGGCGCGCACCGACATCGCCCCCAATGGGGTAGTGCTCCCCCATTCTCACCCGAGGGCATCGGAGATTATGTTCGTACATGGTGGCAGTGTGGTGGTCGGCTTCTTGGATACGAAGGGCAGGCTGTTCCAGAAGAGTCTTGGCGAGGGGGAGGTGTTTGTCTTCCCCCGTGGCTTGGTTCACTACATCATGAACTATGGTTTTAGCCTTGCAACGACGTTTTCCGTGCTGAACAGTCAGAACCCAGGCGTGGTTGGCATTGTCCATGCAATGTTTGCGACAGATTCAGATGTAGTTGAGGGGCTGATGGCCAGAATGTTTGAGTTTGGAGAGATGGGAGTGAGTGACAACATTACTGCTGGTTTCCCATGGGCATTCTGATTAAGAACAACATAGTGGCTGTGATTGAAGATCACCGTCTAAATGCCCATTAATGAATAATGTATGATTGTGGTGTATCTGATTAACTTCTGTAACTGATGTAAGTTTGTAGTCTGAACTACTTGTAGGACGAATCACAATCATCCCTTCTCTCTCTCTCTCTCACCAGGTTTATTTATGTTATTGCAATCCCTGCTCTCTTTTTGTTGCAGTCCTTTGCAATTCTGCTATCTCTCACCCTTTTGTTTTGCTTTCACAATCCTGTTTCACTTTGCAATCTTATGTCAATGGTAATTCCCTAGTCGCGTCACGCAACTGTAGCTTCGCATCACCAAGTTTGAGTATTCCATGGACAGCACAGCCTTCCTTTGTCTTTTGCTTTACTCAGTGGATCTCTACATCATTTGTTGTTTAGCATTATCTCCAGGCTCCAACTCCTTGAAGGTAAGATCTCTTTCTTTGAAGGTGAGATCTCTTTCTTTCCCGCGCCTTCTCTTTCACACTGAAAGCTCCTGCGCCTGATTAAGGTAGACTCCTCTAGCACCAGGCCAATCCTGTCATATTCACACGCTGCTTTGTAAGGTGGCGTGAGATTCTCCAACGGCAGGAGACACGACCTGCAACCGCCTTGACCGAGAAGCAGCTTCCGCGGATCCAAAAGATTCTGGCAGAGCTATACGGCAGATGTTTCAACTGTCTTTCCTACTCACATCGAGTAGCGACCTGCCAGTTGCCACGGCGTTGTCTGCGCTGTCACAGCTACCGTCACCTCGCTACGGACTGCAAGTGGCCCAGGCGTGCTGCGGCGACGGCGTCGAAGGCACTCTCACGGCCCTCCCTGCACGCGCCACTTGGTGGCTCGGACGGAGCCACGCAGATGGCTGTGAGGGGCACCAACGGCCTCCGTGAACGACGCCGGCTGCGCCGGAGCAAGCTACTGAGGGAGATCAACATTGCGCGACTGACAACGTCGCTACTTCTACTGCCGCACGTTGCTCCCACGAGTCTGATCCACTCGCGGTGGTGCTGTGCGAGGGCGCTGGGCCTCCCGTTTTGGTCAACCCGATGCTCGATGAGCTCGCTGTCTCGCTTGTCGTGTGTCGATCTACGGGTGCTCCAGCGTTGGGGCGTCCGTCGACTCCGACTGTGGCCTCTCTGGAGGCTCAGTCATCGTTGGCGGACACCCATTCTCCACCAGGGATGGTTCAGCTCAGCTTCGCGGATGCTGAGGCGCCGGGGGTGGATGGCGACGATCGGCCAGTTTCTCCTTTGGCCCTCGTCGGGGAGTTTGCTAGGCGCGTCTCCGCCCCGCTGAAGACTACCATCCTCAAGGCGCCATCCCGGCGTCGAACCCGTCGCTCTCCATCGTCGGTCACCATCCGCCGTAGCACGCGTCAGGCGGCAAAGTGTGCCTCTCGGCCCCCTAACGCCACCCTCCAAGCGCAGAAGGTGCTTGTGTCCAAGTGGGAACCCTCCGTCTCACAGCCGTCGGATTCCCAGGTAGTGGTGGACTTCCGGCAGACATTCCAGGGCCCGCTCGACTCCGCAAAGAGGGCCACACTTTGAGCGCTTATGAAGTTCGACGTGGTGGGGTTCGAGAGTATGTTCGAGGAGACTTGCTAGTCTCGTTGGCACCTGCCCAATTAGTGGCACAACTTTCATGTAATGTAATTTAAGTTAGGTTTATTTGGGCCGTGTTGGCTTTTATCTTTCAACGGTAATCTATGGATTACTTAGGGATGTTGTAACCGGTCAAACTCTGCTTCTGCTTAATGAAATACGTGTCGTAAGGACACGCTCGCGAAAAAAAGAAAGAATTGATCACCCAAGTGTATCCTGCACAGTCAACCTGTATAATTTTGTTTAACCCCCCCAAAAAAAAAAAAAAAAACATAACTTGGTTTCAGGTTGAGATGGCTACATGACACTCCTAAATTCTTTCCACGCGATATATGTTCTGGATTTGTTCGCACAAATTAAGATGTAAAGCCCCTACTGAAAGAGTCTCCAAGCTCACTATTGAACAAATAATTTTAGTCTTGTTAAACTAGCTCATGGTCCTTAAAAGTCGCACGAGGAAGATTTAGTTATAAGCCTTTCCAAAATTGAAGTATCATCAGACAAAGGTGAAGCTTTCATGTCTTGTGTTAGAATTTGGTTCCTGACGGGGTCATGCTGTCAGAACGGGAATTGGTTCAGATAGGGGAAAAAAACTGTGAAAAGAGAGACTGGAAGTCTGGAACCACATGGGGAAAAAGAAAGAATACCTCATTTTGTTATTCAAGAATGTGTGTATGACTTACACCATTGCACAAGCATTTTTTTTCTTTGCTATATGTAGTGCTTTTGCTTTGGACTATCTATACAATGGGATAAAGCACTAGGAGGCACATGCTAATAAATAAACAAACAGCTGATACCGACAAAAACGAAAAACAAAGGTGACTACTCCTACACTGGTTGCTGTGTGGCCCAGGGCGTATGCAATCATGCCCATCACCCTTCTAGAACCCTAACATGTTAGCACTACTAATCATTGGCTGAGGCCGTTCATGATTGTTGCCCACCAGAGATGGTGCTCCAACATGGGATCGGAGATATGTGGCCTGGAGCACCTCAGCTGATGGCAGCCACAAAATGTGTGTACTTTCTTTCCTGCATTGCATTGGATGGCTCAATTTTCATGACCTTTGCCAGATCAATTTTGATGCTTCTGATCTGATTAGGCCATCAAACTCTGCACACCATGCTGGCTGATCAAACTGCTGCCTAGTCTAAGTGAGAGAGAGACAGGATCTGTACAACGGCATTGGATTATTAATTCTTCTACTAAGAGCAAATGAACAAAAAACTGTTGGGTTTTTTACCCAGCCAACTGGTCCGTCACAATCAAGCAATACCTACTTTGGTCTCTACTCCATGCCCTCTACATCCATCCGTATATACGCTACAGCATCTGACTGCGGTATGTACCGAACTCTTTTTGTCATGAGAAAAACTTTTGGATCGAGGCTACATAAATTAGAAGTTCTCCTTGTGGAACTCGAACTTGGTGTTGGTCTTCCGTGAGAAATCCTGCGCGAGCTCACGCAGCTCCTTTGTCAGCACCGGCGCACCACAGTAGAACACTCCTGCAACATCAAAGATCGATCAGAGATGTCAGTGTTGATTCAGAAACTGAAGTATGTATGAGAAAGTCATGCATTACTGTGTGCAATTAAGTAGGATGATGATTGGCCCTGTTGTTGATTTATCCTTTTATTATCCTTTTTCAGGTAAAGATAGGAGCTGCTAATAAGCATGCCTGATTTGACTCAGTTAGGCAAGTGATGAGCAGGACCTCTTGTGGAAATACTATATGTTAAAGAAATCTGGTGCCAATCTGACCCAACTTTATAGTATTGAACTTTGAACTTTATAGATGCCCATGCTTCATAATTTATCTCTTTCCAAGTGACTATATATATGCTCACCATTTAATTCTTTTATTTGTGCTTGCAATAACTATCAGCATGTAAGTGATGTAACAATGATTGGTTAGCCCTAATTGCAGTTGCGAATGCAATGGGAACTACTTATTGGTTGTGCCTATCAGCAAGCAACAGTGATCGGTCGCTTATTGGCCCCTCTGATCATCTAGGCTGTCAAGGTCCTATTCACTCATCTCAACCAGGGCTAAGTTCAAATTGAACACGCACAGCAAGCACCACAAGCCCTGGTGGTGCTGGTCATGCATAACGACTGTCCCTCTCAGCTTAGCTAGGCCCTGCGGCGAAAGTTAGGCCAGCCACATTATTGCACTACTCCACGCTCATCACACCTATTCACCAGCATGCATCAAGTTTGGTAGAGTGCTTCTTTCACCGCGATCCATCGATCCGGTGAGAGAAGCGTGGCGGCATAGACCATGCGCACTTTGAGTTACTCTACTACTACATTTAACCTTTCTACGACGTCGCCGGTAGGGTAGTAAGTAGAATGACGATGGAGATGAATAGTAAATAATCTTGCAACAACCGACTAACTTACCGACGCGCTGGTTTTGGTGGTTGAGGGCGATGCGCTTGTAGACGTTGCGCCAGTTGGGCCTGGCGAAGTGGGTCTTGACGCGGGTGCCCGACACGACGTCGACGCCGTGCTTGGCGTGGTTGAGCGACTGGAGCATGGCGATGAGCGCGGACCGGGCGTCGCCCTCCTCGTACACGCTGGTGCAGTAGTTGTGGAGCTCGATGACGCCCTTCTTGTCGGTCTCGGCCACCTCGTCCATGACGCCCCGGAACCACTCGAAGGAGCCCTGCTCGCGGGTCACCCAGTAGAAGTAGGCACGCCGCGTGCGGAACGACGCCATGGAGGACGCCGAGGTGTCGGCGCCGGAGCCGGCCTCCAGGTCGCCGTCCAGCTGCTTCATGTTGTTGATGATGTCCTTGATGATGGAGATCATGGGCGTGGCGCCGATGCCCAGCCCGACGAGAAGCACGATGTCGTACTGCTTGTAGTCCTGCGCCGGCGCGCCGTACGGGCCGTCGATCAGCACCTTCGGGAAGCTGCAGAGCAACGGTAGCTTTGATTAATCCTAACTTCCTATCAAATGCACAAGCAATCTATGGAGCAGTTGGCATATGTGGTAGTGAAAAAAAAAACCCATACTATATAGGAGTATATTATTAGTAGAAAGTCAAAATTCAGTTTGTCGGAGAGGCGGCGAAGTCAACCGTGTTGCATTGCATTATGAAATCGGAGAACCTAACCCACACTCACAAGCCACACAGCATTGTTGCATGCTCCGTGTTTCACAGGCACACATGGGACGCGTGCAGAGAATGTCTTTTGTCCGAAAGATTTTTATATCAATGGATTTTTTTTAAAGAATATTCGGAGTGGAATATGTTGGGCATGGGCAGGCGTAGCTAGACCCTTCTTCACCTTATCCCCAGCCACACTGGCCGTCCACAGCCCCCCAGATACGGCACTGGCCGTCCACAGCCCCCCAGATATGGCAC